TTGTAGTATAGTTACAAGTTGGGGAATTGTGATACCTTGTCTCTGTTGCCTAGAATTGCTTTTGCTATACTAGGTGTCTTCAAATGAACTTTGGATTTTTTTCTCAAGGTCTGTGAAGTATGCTGTTGGAATTTCAATTGGGATTGCATTGAATCTATGTAGCAGTTTTGGAAGTATGGCCATTTTCATGAGTAATTTGTCTCAGCAACCAATGAGAAAAATAACTAATGTGGTTTCCATTATTTACCATGTAGCTATTTTAAAAATATTGTACTTTTTGAATCTTTAATATCCATATAGAAAAACATCCTCCAGAAGAATATTTGCTGTAACTTGGGTAATTTATAAGGTAAAATCAAAAGAAGCTTTCAGAGAAAACAAAACAAAACAGACATGCTATTAGAAGTAATAGGTACAAAAGTTTGTTGAATCCCAGATCATATTAAGTATATTTAATATTATTCAATACAATTTCATTGAAAATTCCTGTGGGATACTTTTAAGAACTTGATAAGCCCATTCTAAAAATTACAGAGAAGAATCAAAGTACAATATGAAGGCATGTAACGAAGATGTAACACATGTCTATGTATTTGCCCCCTATCTACATGCACATATGTGTACATCTCCTTCTGGGAGGTGAGTATTCCAGGAAAGAGCCCAATAAATCAGTAGAGGTGAAGGAGATAAGTCGTTTAATAGCTGTATTTCAGAAAAGTCTCTAAAAATGGAAAGAAAAGTAAATTGGGTATGGAAGAAAATAAATGCTACAATGTTAATTGAAGAAGATACAGTGGAATATTTTTGAAGCCTAGAAGGATGCAAGAGAAATAAACTCTTCAAAATGAAATACTTGGACAAACGATGAATCTGATCATGTCAGATGTAAAAGCATGAATAAAGTCAATAAAAGTTTAAAATCAGAGTAGTATTCTTGCAAAATCTTATGCAGATACAGTATCAATATCAGGGATGTAGAAAGAGCTCTTGGGAATTAATATGAAAGAGAAAGGAACCTTGGTAGAATATTTGGACCAGGACATGTGTAACTACCACACTGCAGAAAAGACCCAAAGCCTAACAAGCCAATGAAGGTATGCAAATTAAATACAAATCAAAGAGCAAGATACAGCTTTGTGCTTGCTATTGTAGGTAACATGGTAAAATTTCATGACACCAAGTGTGAATGGTAGGTATGGGTGTATAACTGGCCCTCATCCTCTGCTGGAGGAAGAGGGGCTGGTGGACTGCTGCAGACACCGAGGGACAAATTAAACGCACATCTGCCCTCTGGTCCTTCAAAGATGCTCACACAGGTCCCTGGGCCCTGGCAAAGATAGATGTTACAGCATTATTTTTGCTGGGAGATGTTGGAGGTGACCTGGCAATCACCAGGGCAGCGGACTCCCTAATTCTCATCTTACTCAAAGCTGAATGGTGGAGCAGTCCCCTCGGTCTGCTGAAACGTTAGACTTATGGATGATTCTAGGCAAAGGAAATCCCAAGAAAGAAAGGGGGTCCACTGACAAGTAGGCTATGATAAATGCTGAAAGAGCCAGTTGGATTGTTAAGACGATGGTGACACCTTTCAGCAAAGCGTGTGGTACTGCACAGGTCATGCAGCCAAATTCTGGGGCTTCAGCATGGAATTTTGTGCATCTGTTTTGCCAGGCATTGTGTGTGAGGAAGGGCGAGACCCCATGACTGAGTCAGGACCTTCTCCTGTGGGTCGTGATGAAGGAGTTTGTCTGCTTCCCAAGGGTCATCATCACAACTGCTCACTTGGAAAGTGAGGAGCACGGCCGGAGCCCCTTGGCCTTGACTGGGTGTACACTCTGTAAAGGCCAGCGTGACCCTGGTCGTGACCCCACTGTGGACACTGCGCCGGTCATCAGCGCCTCTCAGAGACCGGAAACCTAGGACCCCGGTGATGGTTCAGTTGTAGAGTTTTGGGCTAGATGTCCTGAGATGCCTGGGGGGTGGTGTGGCCCACACTGCTTGGCCTTGCTGTAGTGCACAGTCAGGGAAGTTACTGGACGAGTACTTCTCACAGGATCATCTCATCCTTCTGGGAACAAAAGGCCTCACCTTGCACGGATCCCTAACGTTCTTTCTCTTGGTTGGTTTGCTCTTGCCTTTTGTCATAACTGTGTTTAAGTGCAACTCAACCTTCCCAGGTTGACAGGATGGCAGGGCCCTCATGAGTCACCCTCGAAGCATCTATGTCACAGTGCTCAGTTACAGCCCATGTAGTAGGACAATGGTCTCTGTGAATCGGTGATCTTAGGTGAGCTCATTAAGAGCTCCACTAGGAGTGGGCATGGACTCTCTTTCCTCTGGCACATTATTCCAGCAAGTGGCAACTTGCCTTCTTGTGCTGCACTTGGAGCTTCGAGTCACAGACTGACAGTGGAGTAAGGAGGACCTTTTGGACAGAACAAGCATTGCTTGAGAGAAGCTATCAGACAAAACCAGAACATGCTGCCTTCTAGCACACTGAGGGAAGGCCTCATGTTCTTCCTCTCTCGGAAGAATACAATATTGCATCTCATCCAGGTCCATGTCCATTCCAAATCACGTAGCCCTGGTAGAGGGGTTGGAGTAGACTCACACGGCAGCTAGAGGGCTGGTAATATGTAGCCAGGGCAAAGGAAAAATAAGATCTTGTCCACAGAAAACGTCCAAGCCCAGTGGAAGATAAGAACAAGTTCTGTAGGAACCAGGGAAGTGAACAGGGACGATCGGCTGTTTAATTTTGGAAGCGATAAGAACACAGGAGTTTGATCTTGAACAGAGCAGTCATGCCCAGAGCTTCTGTTAACGAAACAATGACCCTTTGGTGGTGTGCATGTTGGAGGCACAGGGTTGGGTGGGCGGCGTCCAGCAGCAGGCCCTGTGTGCTCCCCTTCCTGCGTGGCCTGCTGACGTGGGTGAAGCCACCTGTCCTCTGCAAGATGTCGCTGCAGCCTTGGCAGGTGGTGCTGCAGGGATTTCTTGCTGCAGAAATCTCGCTTGGCAGAACCCCAGAAGAGGATGTTGCTACAGCACAGAGGTCTTCTCTGGACGTTCAGTGTGCATGGTCAGCTCCCCCGGTCGCCATGACCTTTCACTCTGCCTACTGCAGTTCCACATTTGGGCTCGGTCCTGCCCCCTGCATCAGAGAGACCAGCTCTCCCCATCCTCCCTCCCTCCACCTGAGGAGAGCTGTTCCCCAGCCTCTTCCGAGCTGGCTCAGGTTTTGCAGCCCTGACTCCTGGTTCCCGTGTCTCTTCCCCTCTGGTCAGGGATGCTGCACTCTTGCACTCACTAAATTCCCAGATTTGCATGGCATCTCAGTTTTTATGCACAACAAACCAGGAAACAAATTTAACATCCACATTAAAGGATCACACTCAGAAAATGCAAACAGTCTCCTAAGATCCCACAGCAAGCAATGACATGTAGAGTTTTCTCTTGCATCCATAAGACTAAACTTTTTGTTTCTACTACCCCGTTAAGCTTTTTGATGGAATGGATTTCCTTTTACTGTTTTCTTCTTAACTTGAATTCTTGAATAATTCACTAATACTCCATCAGGGGCCTCTTTGGCTTTTGTGTGCATTCCGTACAGATATACATTTATCTATTTATTTATTATTCATTAAATTTATTGATACATTTTAGGTATACATTATGATCACCTTCATCATTGGGAATTTGTACCCATACACAATCTATCACGCTTTTTCTTTTTGCCCATTCCCTTTTCCTCTAGTCAACCCTTCCACCCCTCCCTATTTGCGTAAGCTTTGTTTCCATTTTCTCCTTATTTTTTCTTTCCCCTCTTCCCTTCCCCCTCTCCCCTCCTCCCTAGTTCCCCATCCCCTTTGAATATTTTCTTCCTATTTCACATTATCTATTATGTATTTTGGTCCTCATTTACAGTTTCAGTTTCTCACACCAGAGAAACAATTTGGTATTTACACGTGTGTCCTATTTCACTTAAGAGTATGGCCTCAATGTGCATCCATTTAGCTATAAATGTCTAGCTTTTAATTCTTTATGGCTGAGTAGTACTCATATAGTCGTGTCTATAAGAGGACATGTGGATGAGGAGTACATGGTCTTTTAAGACCCCATCAGGGAATGCTTGGAAATGAAGACAAATGAGGGTCCAGAAAACTGTAAAGAAGACGAACTCCTGAGAGCAGAGGGACGAAATAGGCTGCAGTGGGGATGGGTGGTCCCGGCCAGTAGTGGAGCAGAAAGGAGCTTACAGAAAGCGGCCCCAAGGGAGGGAATGGGTGTCCTGCAGGAGAACATCATGAGATGTGCCAGAGTCTGTGCCGATGCCCTGTGAGTCCCGTAAGAAGTCTGTGCTGTGAAGTCGTTAGTGCGTGCAGGGAGGAATGGACTCTAAGCAGCTGTGACTTGCTATACCGGTTTGCAGGAAAGGAGCGGCTTGAACCGGGTCAGAAGTCTCCCACAACATCAGTGAGGGCACAAGGAGAGGAAACAGCTGAGGCTCCTGCCATCCCGGCCCTCCAATGTGTCTAGATGGGGCCCAGCATGCCTGCTTCAGAGTTGGGGAGAACGGACGGGGTACGGAAGGACTGGAGGCAGTTGAACCCCCGTTGTTTGGAGTAGGAGCTGGAGGCTGAGGGACAGCGCTGGGCACAGGGCCGTGCATGTTGTGGGGGTTCAGTGGCTACTTCTCAGAGTAAGGAGGGGCCAGGCTGCCGGGTACTGTCACTGGTGGGTGCTGTCTGGGTCCTGTGTCCTTCTTCATCTCCTGCTCACATGGACGTTAATGTCCAGATCAATGGATCTTCTGAAACTCTTGGTCTCTTCAGGTCACTCTGATGTCTCAAGTCCTCCAAAACTTTCTAGAGCTCTCAGAACAAAGGGCAAACTGTATTTTACTTAGTTTAATGCTTTGCCATGGCATTAAATAAACTTTCAATCTGGTTTTCTCCATGGCCTCGTCCTCGCTTTCTCCAACCCTGCCCTTCTTCACACAGGGGATCTGCTTCCTGGACTCCCTGTGGTTTAGACTCCAAGCCCTGCTCTGCCTGGGAAGCCAGTCGCTGTTATCACCACTGGGGGCGTCAGTTTGCTGCAACTCCATCAAACAGCCCATCACTTCCACTTCACAGCGAAGAGGACGGAGGCTCACAGAGGTTAGGATGCTGGTCCAGAGTCCCGCTGAGTGGACTCACAGGCAGAATTTCCATTCAGACAGCTGGAGGCTGCAGCCTGGACCCTCTACCACCGTCCTATGTGACCTTTCTCTCCTCCTGAAGCAGAGGACTCTTCCTTGTTCCCTTCAGCCCCACTGTGCTTTTTCCATGGCATTGCTCTGCCCCACTCCAAGTCCACTGTGAGTGAGATGCTCCTTTGGGCTTTGGTAAAATCCAGGGACACGTTAAACACCTTCATTAGAGCTCATTCCATGGAATGGTTTGACTCCTGGTCGAATGTTGGGATTCTCCTGTAATTCGCATGCTGAAGCCCTAAGCCCAGTGTGACTGTGAATGGACTTAAGGTCCTTGTGGAGAAAGTGAAGGTTAAGGGTCATAAGGTAGGATCCTGGCCCAATAGGATCTGTGCCATAATAAGAAGAGACACCATCAGGGTTTTCTCTCCATTTTACCACATGAGCATACTGCAACACTGTGGCTGCCTTGAAGCCAGGAGGAAACCAAACCAACAGGACCTCGGTCTGGGCCTTTCAGGCATCAGAACTCGGAGAAAATCTATGTGTGCTGTTTTAGCTACCTGGCCTATGACTGTCTGTTATAGTAGGCCAGAAGGCCAAGGTGAGGTCATTCTCTGCTGAATGCGACCCCCTGCAGGTGCAGGAGACTTTATGGGAGGGAGTAGGAGTTTCTCACTGGCCCTGCCTCTCCGCCGTTCCGAGTGGCACTCACAGACCAAACACCTGGCATGCAGAGGGCCCTGGAAGGGTGTGGGTCCTGCAAGCAGCTGTAGGTGCACCCAGAGCAGCCTTGCACCCCGCTGCTCCGCACAGCTCACCTGTGCTCAAGCTGGATGGGAGCCGGCTCTCCTGCACATCGCCCCGCGGGCCGCTGATTCACTAGCTTCTGGCAGAGGGCTTGGCGGCCTGCTGTCTCCTTGGGCTCTCGTAAAGTGGCCTCCTCCCCTTGCTCTGACGCGGCAGTCGCCCTGCTGGCTGCTGAGGCAAAATTTACGACAAGGATTCCTCAGATTAGGAGGGGTGGGATGTGTCCCTCCGCCTGCAGTGTGCGGAACGCAGTCCACAGCACCACAGCCCCTGTGACTGCTGAGCAAGCCCCCTTGGTCACGCTTGACACTTCTGACTTGAGAAGTCACCTGAAAGTATTTTGATTCCCCAAGAAGTAACTTCAGTTTTTTTCGGAGCTGAGTCCGAAGTTTACTCTTTCAGGTCCTGCTTGGTCTCATGGCTACGTCTAGGCAGGGCCTGGAAGTGCCAAGCAGAGCCGTTTCCCAAGTTGCTCTTTAGCAGACCCAAAGGCCTCCCCCACCCCGCTCCTCTCCTAAGACAGAAATGTCCTCACCGCCCAGCCGCCCTCACTCGGTCTCACATTTCATCACTAGAAAGTTCTTCACGCGCGGTCAGTGTTTACTTCCCCTTTCTTTTGGACCCACTGACTGTTACTTTGCCATCTTGCCAGTAACTCAAGAAGAAAAGCTTTGGCCCATCTGTCACAGAGCAGCTTCTGGCGAACTTGAAGATAGCAGTGGGTTGTCGAAACACCCCTCAAAATGTCGCTCTTCTGTGCTGAGTAGATGTAAACAGGGGCACAGGGCTACCGGGTCCAAGGTGTCAGGAGCTGTGTTCACGGAGACCAAGGCCTGTGTCATGAGCTGGCCCTGTCCTGCAAGAGCGTGGCACAGCCCCTGGCCTTGGCACTCACAGGGTACTCAGAGATGTTCTGGGCTCTCTTGTCCTGCTGGACCAACTTGGTGCTTCTTATGGCTGGATTCAAAGTTGTCCCCAAAATGCTCCTTGTGTTGAGTGTGTGGTTCCTGGTGGGTTGTTGGGCAGGGCTGCGAGGGCTGTACCTTCAGTGGATTCATGTACTGAAGAGATCGCGATTTGACAGCGTTATTTGGATGTGATGGAGTAGGATTGGGGACGATAATTAGTCCCCAGCCCTTTCTCTCTTGCTTTCGCATGGTTTCCCACTACAATTCTCAACTGTTAGAGGTGAGTGGCTTTCTCCACCGGGCCCTTCCTCTATCACATTTCTGCCTCAGAGCAGCTGACCATGAACTGAAACCTCCGAAACCACAAACCTTTAAACTGGGTGTGTCAGGTATTTTGTCACAGCAGTGGAAAATCTGATTAGGAGAACTTTTGGAACTGTTACCCCCGAAGGCATGCCATCAAGCATAATGGATTAGGTGAAAAAGATCACCTTTTCTCTGCCTCTGACAGGGGTTAAAGGAGAGCACTGTCTATCTTTGTGATGCATCTAGCATAAAAGGCACCTTTTTGGATTATAGTTACCCGTTCATACATTTATTTTCCTTATTAGACTCTGAGTTCCTGTGTAGGAGATGCTACACGTTATTCTTCATGCTTTTTCAGAGACAGCAGAGCATGTCATTCGGTGGCTGTAAAATGAGCAGTGTCTTTTGTGTTCATGTTTATTTGATGTTCTTGGGTGGAGATGCGGTGTGGGGAAAATGTGGCACCTGCTCTCATGAAGACCCCGGTACAGACTTCCGGAGATGTGCTCAGTAGCTGGAGGATTTTGAAAAGCTGGTTTGGGGGAGGCAGTACACTTAAGAAAGGACACTTACCACCTCCCAGGTTCTTCTGTGCCCCAGAAGAAGAGTGTGGCCCTATGGCAAGACCTATAAGAATGTGTACCTATTTCTGGAAAGGTTAGATTTGTAGGGGTCATTGGAGGCACTGAGAGCCCAGTGTTTTGCTGGACCTAGCTTCCAGGGAGGCCCAGTATTCCTGAAGCACAGCCATCAAGTTTTTGAGCACATGAAGATCTGTGGGTGGACTTTTTGAAGATCACAAAGCCTTTGCTGGGTCAACTGCTCAGAGATACAAATGTAAGGGACCTACTTGAGAAAACCAGGCATGAGGGAAACATTTGAGTTAAGCAATGAGAGAGAGGGGAAAAGAAAAGAATAAGGAGCGTGACACTTTCCAGAAGAGGGAGGGAGGGAGGGAGGGAGAGTGAACTCTTGAGCAGGAGGGTTTCAGCTCTGCTCTCGTGTGCCTTTCAGGGGGCTGACAAGGGCGTGGATCCCGAAAGCATCCTCCCGCTCATCAGGGTCAGCAAGCCCTCCCCTGCCGCAGTCTCTGTGGTCCCTTCCTGTGCCCAGAGAGTGGCAGAGCTGGGCTTTGGCTTCTGTTCTTCTGACCCTTTGTCCTTTGCTTTGCCGCAGAAACACACATATCCTTCTCTTGTTTTCCTTGGTTACCTGGCATACGCGCTGCGCTTTTTATGTGGCTCTGGTCAGACAATCCTGGTCACGGGGCTGAGGGAAGGCCACCAGACTTCAGCTCCATTTAAGACAACAAAGCAAAGCAACCTCAATTTTTGGTTCACCACTCCTCCGCACCTCTTCCCTGATTTTTTCCAGAATACCTCTAACTCATTTTTGTGGTATTTTATAAACTCAGCTTGAGGCTGAATTCATAAAAATATTTAGAAGCTACCTTACTTTTATAATTAAAGATGAAATGACTCATCCAACCTCTTTCTCGCTCTACAAATAGTCTGGCAGTAAAACAAATCTCTGCTATTAAGTGGTATTTATTTAATTATGATTTGCTGTAGAGCCGTTTAAGAGCAGGTCATTAGGTTAAGACCATTGTGCGGGTGCTGGGAGCAGCGCTGGCTTACATTCGCCTGTGCTTTCCTTGCTGCTGAGCAAATGCAGCCGTGTTTATATTACACGCATTCTCCAGTGTTTTCTGTTCCTCCAGAAAGAAAAGGATGCAACGCAGACGAATGGCCCCATTTCCTGAGAGGGTCAGGCCAGGCTGGACGATGGCTGAGACTCCCCTCCCGTTAACTGTCTCGTGTCCCGTCTTCTCCACTCTTCCTCACTGCACATCAATGCTGTACAAGCAGCCAGCTGTTTCTGAAGGTCTCGGGCCAAGTCTTTGCGGGCTGGGTGGAGCCTCTGGGGGGCCGAACCCAGGGCCCCTCAGGACAGCACCTGAGCCTTGGGGCTTTCCAAACGGCAGGAGTCTGGAAATGTGTGCAAAACCCTTTCGAGACGTCGGAGACAGCAGATTACATTCAGCGAGCACCAATGTCAAGGGCAGGACGAGGCTCACCACGGAAGTCCCCCTGGAGCCTCGCTCGCAGACCCCGGTCCCTCATCTCCCGCTCACTTGGAGCCCTCGGCCCCACTCTCTGGCACACGTGAGAAGCATTACCGAGTGAGCAAGACAGATGCTCACTGGCCCAGCAGGGCACCTCGGTGGCAGGCAGCCGTATCTAGAGGCACATGAGGCTGCGTGTGCTTGTTGTTTATTTATTCTCCTCCTGTTTGGAGACTTTCCCTGATTAATTACTCTCTAGTCCTCTAGGCTGTTAACTAATGTCTCATCTGATTAACCTGCAGCTTGCCCCGGGTCCCAGAGGGTGGGCTGGCCGTCCCGCCTGGGAACGAAGGAGGTCACTGGCCAGGGGGCCCTGGGATGCCAGTTTGGGGCTGGTTTATTTGCTCTGAGTTTTGTTTGCTATTCCTGCCTCAGCGACTGGAGACAGTTGGCCCCCATTTCCATCCTCTCTAATAGGCCTGCTGAAACGGCAGTGAGCGCAAGATTTAAGAAATGTTTTCTTTGAAAACTTCTGGTCCGACAGACACTTTGAGTTCATGTTTCACCCTGTTTCCATTGCACACCGTTCCCTGGGACTCTGAGGAGAAATATTGTTAAGTGAGTCTTACAGGAGGACGGCTGCTCTGCGGTTGGGGGGGTAGTGGGGGGCGATGCACTGGAGGTTTTGGGGGAGGCTGGGCGGAGGCAGCCCTCATCTTCAGAATCTAGAGACCATGCCAACGTTAACACATCCGAGGAGGGATTCGGTATCAAAGTCTCTAATATTTGGCTCTGTAAACACGATACCGGTTGCAAAAACAAAGCTAAGGAGCTCCTGCTGATTACTTCAATAAAAGCTGTTTAATTATGAACGTTTGGGAAATGAAGTTACCAACAGGACCAGGAGTGCTCCGGCGTCCCAGCGTTCCTGCCCCAGCATCCCGCTGCGAAGCCAGATTGTCCACTCAGCTGAAAAGTTTGACATTGAGCAGGGCGCGCCCTCGGGCCCGCAGGGGACCAGGCATTGCCAGTAACACTGCTCCCACCGCAGCAGTGGCCGGGAACGGACTCGTGATGGAGCCGTCAAGCCCGTCAGCACGTCGCAGGCCAGGCCGGCCCAGGGGTCCCTGGGGCAGTGGTCAGAGCTCCCGGGAGACCTGCCCTTGAGAAACAGTTGCTGGTCTTAGGTAGCTCACTGACCTCCCCCCGAGCCAGGGCTGGATTTGGAGCAGGGAGCCAGTGATCTGCTGTAACAGGAAGGCTTGGGCGTTTGCAAATAGGTTTTTTAAATACATTTTTAGAAAACATGATCTTATGAATGCTTCTGCACATTTCTGCTCTTTCTTGTGCTTTACAGCTAGTTATTTTATATCAAATGGAATAAGTAGAATTATCCATAATAAAATTTTAATAAAAATATTAGGGTTGAAGCTATGTATGCACAGAACATATTGTCAAGGAGGGAGGGTTTAATGCTTAAGAAAAATATATGGGTGTTTTCCCTCTAACAACCAAAGTTCTCATCTTTTCATTATTTAGTTGAAGTCTTTGAACTTACCCATATTCAACAACAGGTGAGTACAAACGAATCGATTCTTATCAGCTTTTGGTCAGCTCTGATGATTACCTGGGGCAACCCATTTGCCAAAAGATCCCTGACCACTAGCTACGTGTGGACGCACAGCTGTAGCCACCTCGTTTCTCGTTTCCAACGAGGGCAGTTGTGATGGCTGCAGAGTCATGATGAGGACGAGGCTAATAGACAGGACGCATGTGGAAACAGCGGGAAATCCTGACGCCTCAGGCCAGCTGTGTGTTTAACGTTTCTGGTCGTCAGTTGCTCTTACGAAGTTGTCCTCAGTGCTGCCCATAGCTGCTTCACTATTTTATGCCGGATGGTTTAAGTGGGGACTTGAGGACCCAAATCAAAGGAGGAAGCAACGGAGTTGAGACAACTTCCTGTCCCTGGAGGTCTTGTGTAAAGTAGAAGAGGGCTGTGAACTTTGGATCCAGATCCAAAGCTATGGGTCCCTAGGGCCGGGGATTTAGCTCAGCGGTTCGGTGGCCTGCCTTGCAAGCGCAGGGACCCGAGTTCAATCCCCGGTACCAAAAAAACAAAACAAAAAAAACCAATAAAATCAAAGCTGTGGATCCTTGGACAGTGTCACTTTGCAATTCTGATTTAGTTTTATCTCCTACGAGTTAGGAATCATAATACTTGTGCTCAAGTTTTGTGAAGTTTGAATTTTACAGGTTAGGCACTGGGAAGGTTCCCTTGAGCACTTGATGTTGTAAATTCTTCCTTTCTCAGGAGAGTCTCCCTCTGGTGGAACGGGAGTCGTGTTCTGAACTTCGGGGTTACTGGTGTTGGAACTATCGTAGGGTAGCACACTGTGGCTGTGTGCTGGGATCTGTGCTGTGAAGACCTCTGTGCTCTTGTGATGACCAAGTACACTTTTGATGTTGCTTTCTGTGTTTTTCAGTGGTAATATTATGTGATAAGGGAGTTTACTCTGAGAAATCGGCACACACATTTAATGTGTCTTAATCAAGTTCAATCCCATTTCCCCCCTCTTCCTTTCCTACCTCCTCCCACAGGTCTCCTTCCCCATCTCCAAATATCTACTTTCTGGCTTCCTATCTAAAAATGAAGCAATGATTCTTTTCTTTTAGATATCAAGACAGAGAGTAAGTCAGGCAGACACTCCAAGCATTGGGGTAAAGTTCTGGCGTCTATGTTCATGTTCCCTGCCGTAGACTGGATCTTAAGTGTCCCCTGAAAGCCCGTGTGGTAAAGACTTTGCCCCAGTGTGGCCCTTTGGGGAGGTGGTAGAAATGTAAGAGGTGTGGTGGAAATGTAACAGGGGTTCAGGTCACTGGGGTGAGCTTTTAAAGGAATAAGCGTGTCTCCAGCCTCTTCACCCTTGCTGCTTCTCTTCCTAGCCATGAGATGAGCAGTTTTGCTCTGCTCTGTGCCCACCATGTTGAGCTGCCTTGCCATGGTCCGAAGGCCAGGAGGCCAATCCCTCATGGACCGGGCCCCCCCAACCAGGAGCCAACATAAACATTTTCATAAGCTGATTACCTCTTATCTGTCTTAGTACCAGCGAGCTGACTAACACAGTGCCTCAAGAACGCCTGCATCTTACAGGGGACTGGAGAGAGAGGCTGTGAAGGGAAAGTTTGGTGGAAGATGGCCATAGAATGGGAAAAGAGTAACCATCATGCCTTTTGGGGACTCCAAACTCTGGGGCCTTTGTCTGGAGACCATGTGTGAAGAACTTACTGAAAAATTCAAGTTTGCTTAACTTTATATGCGTGGAATACAAAGTTAAAATAACACCTTACATTCCTTCTTGTATAGGCTTGTTTTCTTTCCAAATGGTCAGAGTTACTGAGAGAAGTATAGACAGGAAGAAGTTTATATGGGGTCCCCAAGACCCCGTGTGGAAAGCTCATTTATCAGACCAGATCCTGGGACTCAGAGCAAGGCTGGTGGAGTCCCCTGACCTTGGGGTATGGAGATCCCAGGAGCTGCTTTGTCTCATTAACTGCCAACTCCAGAACTAATTTGCGGGGGACAGCAAAGGTGATCAGGCTGGAGTCAGAGGCCTTGTCCTTCTACTGTTTGTATTACCTGGGGGTAATTCAATACTTTTTTAGGGTTTTCTCATTTGTCTGGTAAGATTAATAGCGCCAGTGCCATAAAATAATAGGCAGAGACAGAAACTAACTTGGACCCGAAAGAATTTTGCAAATGTTACATAAGAATTCAAATTAAAGGGCTAAATAATTGTACATAATCTTGTCACATTTACATCTTTGCAGACTTCGTACGAGGTGTAATTATGAAAGGGCCCAGGATGGTTTTGGAGGCCTCCTTATTCAGGTTCTGGTTTTATACATAGGAAACCGAGGAGGAGGAGCGAGTACAATGTACCCACAGAAAAACACGAAGTGAGGGGCCAGGCTGAGCATGGGGAGCCCGCCTGACCGTTCGGGGCTTTTTTGCCTCATCACGTGACAGCAACCTGGCAGGATGTCCTACTCAAGAGTGGTGGATTCAGACCAAAATGCTCCCAGCGCTGTCGGTGGAGACCTCAGGCTGAAGCAGATCCCAGGCGTCTGCCTTTCCGGGCAAGTGACAAACCTCGCCAAAGGGGCATGATCTTGGGGGCCTCTCTCCCCACTGCTGCCCTCAGGGGGAGCTGTGGGACAACTGCACATGGTGGGCCACGTGGTCACTGACACAGGCCCACGCCTTGCACCCTGCCCTGCAGAAGGCACTGTGAAGAGGCGGTAAAGGGCTAGCTCTGGTGAGCTTCCCGAGTCTTTCCCCACACTAGGAAGGCTCTGAAGAGCAGAAGGGGCACAGCGCCCCGTGGACTGTCTCCCGGCTCCCTGTGAGCTGTCTCAGCTGTGGCTCTAGGGGACCGACCTGGACTGCCCCTTGGCTGCAGAATCCCAGATTCAGAATTCCCCCTGGCTATGCCTGGAATGTACTCAGAAGCTGCTGGAAAGTAGTTTTACAGGGTAATGTGGAGCTATTGTGACTTTTTAAATGCTATTGTAAATAGTATACCTTTAAAGGGTTTTTATTTTCACTTGTTTGCTGCTGCATAGAGACACGCTATTGATTTTTGTGCATTGCCCTTAAATTTGCAGCTAGCTCAGTTTAATTGGTCCTAATAAGCATTCTTCTGCTTTTGTAAGACACACCCTTGCTATGTAGTTCAGGCAGGTCCCCAGCTCACTGTTGCAGCCCAGGCTGGCGATCCTCCTGTCTTGGCCTCTCGAGTGCTGGGATCGCAGGTGTGCGCCCCCATGCCTGGCTGTAAACTTTTCTGTAGATGTGTTAGGTGCCAGTGCCAACTTATTATGTACTGCAAACACATGCTAAGGGAAGTAAAAGTTAATTTGCCAACAATAGATACAGTTTTAATTCTTTCTTTTTGAAGTTCCTTTCTTTTCTTGGCTTTTAGCACTGGCTGCGATCTGAGTAGAGGCCCTGAGAGCAGACCTTCTGCCCCTCCTGTAGACCTTGTGGCGAACCTCGATCTCTTTGTCAGAGACTGTTGTGTTAGCTGTCAGAACTTTGAAGTTACTCAGATTTCAAACATTCTCTCCTTGCTCAAGATCGCTTTTTCTTCACATGAGCTAGTATTGAATTTCATTAAATATTTCTATGATTGGCAGAGATGAAGATCTTTCTCCATTTTTCTATGAGTTTCATTACCTTCACAATATCTACAAACCAAAAAAATTAATAAATCCAACCTCGTATTTCTGGATATGTTTTAGTGGATCATCATTGTTTTCATGGTATTTTGTAAATGTTTTTCAGTAATTATTTAAGATTTTCAGTATACTTTCAGGAGGAATACTGATCTGAAATTTTCTTTTCTGGAGAAGAGCTTCTTTACCATGTTTTTGATTGAGAGTATTGCCGGCATCATAAAATGTCCTGGGTGCTTTTCTTCCACTTTTATCCTCTAGATTGATTTGTTTAAAATCATGTTATTTTTTCCTTTGATATTTGCCTGGGTTTACCAGTGAAGCCACCTGGGCCTGAAAATTCATGCAATAAAGAATTTAATTTCTTTAAATGAATAAAATGAGGGAGAAATGGGAAACAGGAGAGCAGCACACAGCTGTCCTCTCCAGGGGCAGCTTTCTCCATGAGTGAGAGAAGAGGGATGCCAATACAGAAGGAAACTCAAGTGTCAGCATTCCGCGGTGTCCTTCTCCCCAGCACAGACATTTTGCCACTCTCACTGCCTGGGCATCTTCAGGCTGATGGCAGTGACCTCCTGGAACTGAGGACACCTCTCTTATCGCACTGACCAGAGTCCTCTCACTGTGGTCTTTGCTCTGAACGCTGGTGCCAGACCGAGGGAAATTGTGGTTAACAAAGCTCACAAAACCAAACCATGCTAGCTTTTGAGCTTGGTCTCCAATAAGCCAGTGTCTGCTAAGTCAGTTGGCCTCTGGGCTTGAGAGCGGGATGGCCTGTTGGTAAGTGGAATTTGCCCTGAAGTCATCTTGCCCTGCTGTTTCTTTCTGTAGAAAAACATGAGAGTTTAAGTACATTTATCTTATGGCAAAGTTGCTAAATAACAAATAAATAACAGCAACAACAACCAGACAGGAAAAAAGCAGACATTTTTAATCCCCCATTTAAAAAGTCTAATGGAAGTTTCAAGTTATGGCAGAAGGTACTTCAAAGCGTTGTATACACTGACTTCACATATCACAAATACATGTTCCTCAGGACGAGAGGCTACCAGAGTGAGCATTCTCGGTTTTTCTAAGTTAGGATTTCCAGATATAACACTGCATTTTGGACTGTGAAAGTCTCGAAAAGCGAACCGTGTGTGCACACGTGTTTTCGGATATCGACAGAGAGAAGGTTGTGAAGGCCACTTGTACTTGCCATGGCACACAGGACTACCATGCGGCCCCGTGTGGCTGAGCTTTCCGTGTAGTCTGGAGCAGAGACTTGGGTCTCCCCTGCTCCAGGGACTCCCCTGCTTTCCAGGCCCGCACTGCCGATGAAGCTTTGGTCCCCCAGGTGCTCTCACTGCAGTGGAATCTTTTCCACTGGTGTACACGGAGCACAGAGAGTGAAAATTATTCACTCTTGTACACACTCATTCTTTATTTGGCACTAAACAGTGAGATAATCCTTGTTTAAATTTTGTGTACTTTCTATTGGAAATGTTTTTCCATATAACATTCCTGCACGTGGAGATCTTAGTTTTATGAGGAGTGGGAATTTTTCTCATGCAGATTTTCTTTATGAATCTGGAGTCAGAGCTGAAGTGGCAAAGTGGGGGATCCAGTGGGTGGTGGAAGGGTTTACACAACATCTCTGGAAGTTGCCAGAATCAGTACACACAATATGTAGTTTTCGAAGTCTGGACCCATAAAAGCCTGTGGTTATGTCTAGGACCACAAGGCGCTGGTTTGTATTTCATTGTAATATTGCGGATCGGGCCACTGGCGACAGACTTCATCACACCGTCCTTTGGCAAGGTGAAGCAGAGCCCAGTTCTGCTTCCCTCTTCAGGGTGCTGTCTGTGGAGCAGGGCTGGACTGACTTAGTTGGGAGGGCCTAGCAGGGATGGCGAAACGCGTGCCAGAGCTGTGCCACCGCTGTTGGGGCCAGTGGGTCTCAGGGAGGCCCCGAGTCCTAATCCGACATCAGCCCCCTTCACGCGATGCTTCTGTGACCACGGAGGCTGCCAGTGTGGGTCCCGTAGTGAATCCCGGTCAGCAGCAGAGGCGGGGGAAGGAAAGTGGAGTCGCTTCTCCTATCTCAAAGGAAGCTTCGGTGTCCTTTACACAATGACTGCATCTATGCCGCTTCAAAGCTTCTGCGAAGTGAATGAACCTGGGAACCACGATAGAGTAACGTTTACCAAATCTGTATCTGTTGGCAACCTCCTTTTCCCTTGTTGCTTGGGAGTGCACCCAGGGTCTTTGCAGTGAACCACGTCCCCAGCCCTTTTTAATTTTTATTTTGAGACAGGGTCTTGCTAAGTCTGA